GCGTCTGCCGCTGGAAAACGAGAAAAGCGCACTGTACGTTTTTCTACGTCAAGCCGTTAAGGTTGGGCTAACCGGTGGGTGGTGAGGTAAGAATTACATAATATTTACCAGCCCTAATGCAACGCATTCAAAAATACCTACTTATCTATCTACCCTATCACGCGACTCGTCAAACATTATTGGATAATAATATATTATTTTATATTTTGCTTTACGTGTATTTTGACGGGCGGAGGGGATTTGAGTTGACGCTTTTACTCAAGACACATATTATTTGAAGGCCGATAGTCATTTAGTAGTAAATAAGTAATAACTACAATATAATATTATCATATTTTGCATTGAATAATCATTAATCGTAGGTACGGGTTTTTTTTTCTTTTATCGCCGTTGGAAACTCAATAAATTCCATAAAACAGTATTACGTATTTAACATACTAACCAACTATGAGCAAGTAACTTATATTATCTGTATATTTCGAGTCCTGGGCTTTGATAAACTCGACCTTAGAAAAACGTCGTACAGCGCTGATTATAACGGGCCACGTGTGGAAAGCTAAAAAAACAAACAATAATATTGACTTTTGCGTTTCTTCAGATACCGTTTGCAAATTATAATTGGTGGCCTCGTTAACATATTAATAATGATATTATATATTATTATTGTTGTTGATATTATTGCGTACGACGACCCATAATGCTTCGCAAACATATTGTATAGTAAGTAGTAACCCAACATACATGACGTGTAGTTATGTCTTATGTATGTATATTTTGTTGTTATTGTAGTAAACGTATATGTATATCAGTATATGACGTGTTCGTAAGATAATACTATGTATAATACAAAATGTAAAACACGTGTTATATACGATAACCTTGTGTCCTTGTTATCTTATAAGTAACATGACCGTAAAACTGGATAAAAAATAAATCAATTGCCAAATTGTTAATTTGTATAATCAGTATTTTTACTTTTGTACTCGTAGACACGACCTCGTCTATACATAATCACGGAAAGCCTAAATCTATGATCACATCACACTATAGCCGGCTGTACCCATATTGTTATTAATACTAAAGGGCTAGTCCATATAATATTATAATCAGATCAAGTCCACCAATCACCATTCCAATTCGTAAGACTTATGTGAGCCGCATTAATAGCATCGTCGCGTTCCTTTGCTTCTTCCGAATCCATTCCCTGGTTCTTATTGGCGCTACATTTATAACAAACTTATTATTTTATTTTAATATACTATAATACTTGTCTACACTACTGACTATACTGTAATAATTACTATGTCTACTGTTTAACCATCATAAATCATAATATTATTCTATTATTGTATTTATTTAGATTGCAAATGTCCAGTAGTGAAAAAAGTAGACAGGTACTAAAATAACATAACGAGAGATCGCCGGGTGCATTACAGTGTATTGCATATATACGTTTGCGGGATGGTTCTCCTCTTTTGTCGGGTTAGGTTAGGTTAGGTGATCAATATCTCGCACAATACAGTACCATCGCGTCTCCAGATCGCAAAAACCGAGGAGACGGGAATGGCGTGTAATAATAATATGTCTCGGAATGCGCGTTTATATTATTATTATTATTATCATTATGTGACCGCGGACCAACAACTGTAAACCGTATTCGAATTGCCGTTACTTATTATTTTACATTCTATAGCAATAATATTGTGTACAACTCGTCGGGCTGTGTAATAAAACAAACAGCTCGGCCGTCCCTCGCCGCAGCGGTATTAATAATAACATTTAAAAAAAAAAAAAATGCCCCGCGTGAAATTGGAACTTGTTGCGCAACGAAGAGAGTTGCCAACGGCCGACGGGGACCGCCGCGGTACGGGCCTGTGATACTGCAGCACTACGAACATAATATTATTTATGTATTTAGTGTTGTTTAGTGCAATGTAATATATTATAATGTTATTATAATAATATATAATATTCCTCTCACTGGATTCGATGATTACGACGAGTGTTCAGTTCTTCGAATATCGCCGTGTTGAGGTCATGCCCAGTTCGTCATTTACACGCGCACTCTGCACTTTTTTGTAAAGCGCGCGCACGCACACACACGGTCATTAGAAGAATTAATTCCATAAATCTATACAACGAAAAATCCTCGAAAAAAATACCTAATCCCCGTTTAGAACGGTATACCGCCGACACTACACAATATAAGCGATGCTTCAGTATATTATAGATATTATAATAAATATCACCTATATTACCTATATAGGCTATAATGTATCTAGGCTATAATATCTAGTAAGTACATAATATAATAATATATTGGCGTAACATTATGACCAAACTCCTATCGACCTAGTCAACATATTATACATTATATTGTCGTATTAGGATGATTTAATAGGAATTTTGTGTCATGGTTATACAGCGTGTACCGACTGTACCGTATACGGAGCAACGATACTTCAAACTTCCAAGTATAATTATTTTAAATGTGTAGGTTAGGTTAGGTTAGGTTAGGTCACGTTTTGTCGTCCACTGTTGTTTGTTTTATCGTAGATTTTATGGTATACTATCTGTTACGATTTAGGCTAATAAAAACGTATAGTGTAATGCTTTCATCTTTGTGACCTATCTTGATTTTTTTGTTTTTGATATGTTTCATTGATAATATGTTTAAGACGTGTATAGGTAAAAGCTGGATTATCTTCGAATAACCTAACCAAACCGAAATATAAGTATTTTATAGTGTTTATTAATTTTTATTCAATGTACAGACGTGATTCCTACACTCCTACAGCAGTATAACATAATTATTATAAACATTGCGGAGCAGAAAATAACAAACATTGTACGATAAATCAGCTACTGCTACTACTACTTAATACTTATTATACAATTAAATTGAATAATAGGAAAATTATTTCTCCGGAACCATTATTAAAATACCTAATTTTGTTTTTATTCGTTAAATTTTTGTAATAATAAATGAATTACATAGTATTGCAAATATTGTACTATACGAGTTATTGAGTTATAAACCAATGCGTTTTCAAACATTTCTCGGTGCATACAAATCTAGGCCCAATAAAAATAATATTATTTCGTACGTATATAATATACTTTATTATTATTTATATCGCTCGTCGACGGTTTATTTATGTAACGAAATAATATTATATAATATTTTATCGACGGACCGGAGGCGCAATAGATAAAGAAAAATAAAATTAGTCTCGTGTCAGAATAAAACAAATACACTTTGTGTCGCTGTTGCTGCTGCGTTACTGCCAATTATAAACAATGCAACCAAGACATCAATAACCCCTTCGCAACATGCCGCCGCTGCCGACCATTCCGCTCCTCGATCGTTCGCTCGCGCATTGGCCATTTCACTCGGCCGTCAGGTCACACAACCGGTTTCGTCGCCGTACCGTGTGTCGTTGCTTCACTCGGCTCGTTCGTTTATAATCTGCACACACACACACACACACACACACACACACACACACATACACACACACACACGAGTAATAAGTAATAACTTATAGGTATGTATAATATTATGGTAGCCGTTCGGCGGTTACTCGGCTGAACACGTAACGTTTCTCTCCGATCTACCTCTACGATCGTAATAATATTATAATGTGCCCCCCAGTTGTACAAGCGCGTATATATAAATCAAATAATCGCTGTGCCGTTGTTGGTTACTTTTACAAACGTAATAAATAATATAATAAGCCACGCGCGATGTATAATATAATCTATACCTAGGTAGTTGATAGTGTACCTACCGTGTCTGCCATACAACTGTAATACAAGCGCAATGTTATACTTATTTTAATATCGTAATACGAGGTCCTTTGCAAATTTAGTGGTGTGGGGATCATTTTCAAAACGTATACCTACATTAAAATAAGTACACTATTGTATAGTTATTAATTTGTAAACATTTGCGACAATACGAGTATAAGACTAAGACATTATATTATAATATAATTAATATACATTGTGATATGAAACGTTATCAATTTGGTGTCAATATTCAATTTTATATCCACGAGTCACGATCAGGTTCAGGTACGAACTGGATTTTAACTTGCGAAACATAACTTGGTCTATACACTATACTGTATACTTAGAGCTGTATAGCCTATAGGTTGGTGTTTAAAAAAGCTTTGAATTTAATTTTTAAGTTATCTTGTTGACCGCTGACGACTCTCTTTTCCAAATTAGATTCTTTGTGACTCAAAGTTTCTTTTCCCTCTACTTATCTAACTCTCCTTTATACTATATTTAAAGTTTAAACCGTATTGTTAATTACGAGGACAAACTTTATAAATTTTATATCTGATATTACTTTTCTGTACCATTTGTTAACATTATACATTATATAACAATGGTTAATATTATATATTTAATATTTGTTGTTCAGTTGTCATTATTATCATAGTCGTTTGTAAGTTTATATAAGTAGCAAGTGTTATATTACATATTTACATTTTTTTTGTAATTATCACTCTTATTTTAGACTTCGGCCTGTTGCTTATCCCCAAACAAACGGCCTTGTCATCGCATAATATACAACGACACCATAATATTATTATATTCTGATCACCTATATGTGTAGTAACGTTTGCTTTTTTGGTTTTCAGCACGCAAAGGACTCGGCGCCGTCGAGAAAATAATTCAATAAAAATATATCGCTTTGCGTTCTCCGTGCCGATACCGACGACCGCACGCGAGACGATAGCGACATGGCACGCGCCCCCGCCGATAACCGTCGCGCCCACATCCGTCGTCACCGGGATTACGTCGAATGCCAACGGTTTTACGCAGTCACGTAGTACTCAGCGGCTCGACGCGCGGTTACCGGCGCGCCCGACGACAAATTAGTGTAGGTGCTACGCCGTCGTTGTCTTTTCGGTGCTCGCGAGACGCCTCGATGATACTACTCCGTCCCGCCGTCGGCCCGTCACCGCGGCGGTTACTGTTCTGAGACCATGGCTGACAGCGACACCAGGATGTGGGGCCATAGCGTGCAGGTATCGTCCGGCCCGGTCACCGTCACGTCCATCAATCTGATCGCTCCTCGTCTGCAGCCCAACGCGCAGATCACCACGATAAAAGGTGTGTACAACAATATTGACTATTATAGTATACCTCACGTATATTATGATAATATTTTATCACATCCTCTTTTTAAGGGGGTTGGTATAGGCAATTTCGACGCGATTTTGAGAAAAATTTTATTATTTGAATTTTGTTTTCATAATATTGGAGTATCTTACCAATGGCCCCATGTCACGTGTTAATGCCAATACCATCGTTGGTGTTTATTTATATCGAAATCATAGAATATAGAAGAATGATTGATTTCGTAGGAAATTGAACCACAAACGTTGTGACTGTAGCTTACACTCGTACAGTCATGATGGTTAGAATTTAATATTTATACGCAATAATATTATATCAGGTTTTAAGATATAAAGCAGACAATATTTGTTGTGTCGTAGCGTTTTAATTTTTTTGATTAATATCATAATTATTAATACAAAAACAGTTATTGTTGTTTTGAAATCCGTTTTTTCTTGATGCGTTTCAATAAATTATTTATGTTAACGATGTGAAAAAAATAAAAACACTACGACACAAAATATTGTCATAATTTGATTTCTCGACTGTGAGTCAAGTCTGAGTGGTTCTTTTTCGCTCGAGACGGTTTTCACTAACATGTTATTGATGTGAGGCGTCCTCACCGTATATTATGACGTGTATGTTATATAAATAAATATAAAATTGAATAGGTATTTGTATTAAAGTTGAATGGGTTTTTTATTTATTCAACCTGTAGCTGATAAGTGATAACCATATATGTATATTAGAGTAAAGCGACTATAGCTTAACCAAAGACTTCGCAAAAGACCTCTATAATTTATTGCGAATAAATATGTGTAGATCGATCTTAAAAACATTATTTAGGTGTGTATAAAACATTTAAACACATTATTATAGCTAAAATATGCCAAAACTGTCCTACACCCAAAAAAAAATGTTCCTTCTTTGTCCATTTATAAGTTTTGATTGAATTTCAAGAATAATATTCCATTCCCCTGTAGGCATTAGGTTGGCCAATAGCCCTACCCACGTAGTCTTACCTATGCAAGTGCTTCCTGTATGGATGGCCTTATATACAAGCCATCCAAATATACAGAGATACGTTCGAATTTACAGAAAATGCAATCTTTCCAATCACACCTGACACTAAAAACAGCGTCCACTCTCTATCCTGATTTTTTGATTTCGCTTAACCTATCATCCAAATCATTTCATTAAAAAAACTCAGCACCTATAACATCCCAGAAAATCCTGTCTCATTAGTTCGCCGTTAGTGATGACCTAACCTAACCTAACCTCGCCGTTAGTGATGCAGAGACCTTATACATTAGGTAGCAGTATTGCAGTAAACAAACAAAGTTAATTAATTTTCTCCAGTATAATTATTAATCGATAAACGTTTATTCTGTTCCTTTTGCTCGAGCCAAACTGTAACGATAAATGTACGCACATCATACACACATCATAATGTATAGCATTATTATATAATTTAAAGATTGTGTATTTATAATAAAAATTTAAAAAAATCAATATAAATTATCTTGGTATTATTCACCTATACGAGTTGCAGCTTAACCTAAAATGTTGCAAGATAACTTATAATAATAAAGTTATGTTATTGTATAATACAAATAATAAGTACCTATATATTATAAATTGTGGTGTATTTACGATTTAGTTCTTATATCTTATAATAACATAGGTTCTTAAGCTACATAAATAATTCGACTGACCACAAGCATAATTGACCTTTCATCTTACTAAAAAACCATATCAGGGATAAGATTTCGTTGGCAATTTTTATTTTAAAAAACTTTTTTGGCTATTCGTTTGTACGATACAAAAACAAAACGTGTATAAAATGCATTACAAAATATATACTATTATTGAGAAATTGATGAAATGATTCATCGACGAAATTCTATTACTTATAAATAAAAATTGTATAATTATTGTATGTGTTAACTCCGTTGAACACCACTATAATTTGTGAAAAAACATGTATTATTCAAACTATAAATATAAATAAAAAAAAATTGATTTATAATAATATAATATTATTATATTCGTGATTTTCCTAATAAAATGCAATTCAATGTTTATCAATTTACTGTAATACTGGTACCAGCTATGGTAAAAATTAACATTTTATTCGAATCAAAAATATCTCAAATACATACCTACTAATATAATATAATAATACCAATAATCGTTTTGGATATAACATTTTACGCTAAGGCGCAATACAATAATTATTATTCCAAAAACGATTATACCCACTGTCTGATAAAGTTCAGTGCTTGTGGTTGTATCTTTATATGACATACTATATTATATAAACGATGTCCAATATGATAACAATCTAATTTTTTTTAATTTTGTGATACGTCTTGTTGCTGTATCAGCGCGATATACCGATGTGTTATAGCATTCATGTATAATGTAAATTAATGTTTATACATTTATAATACATTTGGTTCAACGTTATTCTATAGAAATCTTAAATATAATAATATACTCTTTGATGTATAGATTATACACATTTTCACTAGCTAGGTAGTTAATATATAAAATAAGGGGTTGTTCTCAGTTTATCACAAATTTTAAATAATAGGTATTAGCAATTTTTTAAAAATGTTAATGCACATGCACCTAATTTTAAATGTTCTTTCATTTGAATATTAATTTTTTTTTATGTAATGAAGTGAATCGACTTTTATTTTTACATCAATATGAATACAATAAGAAAACATAATAAATCTTTTCAAAGTCAATGTTTATATTTTGTTTTGATTTATACATATTTGACACACGTACAAATACTTCGTTTTGGTACTTACTTGGGTATATTGAAAGACGAAATTGCATAAATTAATGCTGACGCAGGGCTTGAAACCGGTTACCGGTTTTTAACAGAAACCGGTTACCATGAACAATTTTGGGTCTGGTAACCACCAAATTCAATTAAGGGGTAACGTGTAGCTGTAACCTTTTTTTAAAAAAAAAAACCGTTTCCGAAGTGGTTGCCGGTAATCTTAAAGAATTAAAACCACTTCGAAACCGACCAAAAGTAACCAAATTTTTAGAGATCATTTTGGTAACCGGTAATCAATTACCACTAATTCTAAAAACCCCTAAAACCGGTAACCACTTACGAAAATTTTTTTTTAACCTAACCGTAACCGAATATTTCAACTGTGCTAACGTGATACAAATTTCGTATACTATAATATTTACCTATATGTATTGTATCGACTTTTTATAACGAGTTTTGTTTTTCCACCCACAGAGGAACCTCACGACAAGGACGGCACAATGACTGAAATAAAAGATGACATCATCGACGAAGTAGGTTCTGAATGTGATCGGGAAGTAAGTAAGATTGACTTCTCCGGAGTTACTATGAGAAGTAAAAAAATGAGAGCTGTAGAAGAAAACATGCCCCGGCCAATGTCCTGGGAAGGAGAACTTTCCGATTCGGAAATGAAACAGGTAACTGAGACTGGCCAATTTTAATAAAACGAACTTGGATGGACATTTTTACGAACGTAACTGATTTTCAGGAAGAAGATAGGACGGCGGACGTGCAGACAGCGAATCAAAATTATTTACTGCCTCGAAATGAGAATTTAAATAACCAACAATCGTCTCCAGTGAAACGAATTATTTATAACGATAATAATTTGGTAAGTCTTGCTTAAAATCTCGTCAGTATTTATATTGAATTTTTTTTTTTTTACAGGTCGACCGAGTGATGGAGCATGTCAAGAGCAAAGTAACTTCGTCGAACAACGACATTCCGTTACTTGTTGATAAATTGTTAGGTGGCGGTTACAGTCCGTTACTCCAACATAGAACTAATGGAGTCAAACATACATCACACATTCCACCGACTCAAAGCCCAGACTCGGCCATACACTCTTGTTGCTCACCTGCACAGTCACCAATCACTTCCAGACACAATCCTCCGTCATCTTCAGGGTTTTCGTCCCCATCTACATTCACACCGTCGTCATTGTCGAGGAATAATAGTGATGCTTCGCAATACGGTGGATCACAACATAGTTCTTGTTATAGTCAAAGGTAAAACCATAAGTCTATAAACATTGGTATTTTTCTTACATAATGTACGATACACAATATATATAACTATTGGTATATCCTACACTTAAATATTTTATTTACAGTTATTCCTCGCTGTCTGTTTCGCCTACACATTTTTCCCCGACACAATCACCAATACAGCCAAGACACATACAAAGAAATTTTCATGAATATACTGTGACAGAGGAAACCAATGGCTATGAAGAGAAATTGTCAATGTCCGACATTAATCAACAACATGGTATAACATCTGGCATTTCAAGACAACAACTCATAAATAGGTATGTATATATTTTTATGTAGAATGAATAAAATATTAACTTTTCATAGTAATGTCATTGTAGCTAAATAATTTCTATATTTTAATCTAGTCCCTGTCCAATTTGTGGTGATAAAATTTCTGGTTTTCATTATGGCATATTTTCATGTGAGAGTTGCAAAGGATTTTTCAAGCGCACTGTACAAAATCATAAGAACTATGTGTGCCTACATGGTTCGGCATGTTTGATCACAATAGCTACACGCAAGAAGTGTCCAGCTTGCCGCTTTGACAAGTGCTTGAATATGGGTATGAAACTAGAAGCAATCAGAGTTGATAGAACAAGAGGTGGACGTAGTACCTATCCGTTTACTTACACAATACCGCCTTCCAATATGCAGCCACAACATAGTGGACAGCACTCAGGAATGAGCACTAATTCTGTAGAAAATAAAGTCAAGCAGGAAGAACGTGCATGCAGGTCTCCACCCCAAGAAGCAGCCAGACTGATCCCTCAATTATTGCAAGTAAGTAATGTGTAAACATCACAAATATAATTTCTGTTAATAAGAAATAGCAGTATCTAAATTTAAAATAATTATATATTCTTAAATTTGATTTTTGTTTATATCAGATACATAATATTAACTTATATAGATATTATTACTGCAGAAATGCTATACAATTATTATTAGTTTTATGATTGATTTTGACACAAAATAATTGTAAAAGTTTTCTAACTAACATTCAAAACATAATTAAATGTAATTTATGAAAACAAAAGTATTCTATAACAAATTTAACTTTTAGGATTTGATTATCTATTAGTTTTTAATTAATACTTATAAAATGATTTTAGGAAATAATGGAAGTGGAACACTTATGGACTTATAATGAAGGCTCATTTGAATCATCAAGTGCTAGTGGAAGTTCTATGAATCATTGTGGTGGTGCCAAAGAAATAGCTAAAAGTCGCTTAATGGCTGAAAATTCAGGAACAGATTTTCTTTCCAATTTATGCAACATTGCTGATCATCGGCTATACAAAATAGTCAAATGGTGCAAATCATTACCGTTATTTAAAAACATTTCGGTAATAAGATAATTATTTATTTCAACTATTTATGCAAAGATTATATTTTTTTTAAATGTTTACTTTAGATCGATGATCAGATATCGTTATTGATAAATGCCTGGTGTGAGCTACTGTTATTCAGTTGCTGTTATCGATCAGTTAGCAGCCCCGGGGAAATACGTGTTAGCCTGGGCAAGTCCATTTCTTTAGATCAAGCAAGAGAATTAGGTTTAGCACCTTGTATTGAGCGCATGTTGAATTTTACTCAGCACCTGAGACGTTTGAGAGTAGATCGTTATGAATATGTAGCCATGAAAGTCATTGTGCTATTATCATCAGGTATAATATAATATGTTTAGTCTGATTTTATAAAATATACTTAAACCTATAACAAATGTAAATATTGTGCTTAAAAACAGATGAATTCAATTTGTTAATTATGTTTTCAGATACAAATGATTTGAAAGAACCAGAAAAAGTTCGTGCATCTCAGGAAAAAGCATTACACGCTCTGCAACAGTATACTCTGACACATTATCCGGAGATGCCATCCAAATTTGGAGAACTGTTGTTAAGGATACCTGATTTACAACGTACTTGTCAGGTAAATATGGCATACTAATAAATTATTTTAAGTCAGAGGTATTCCAACTGTGCATCATGGCTCTAGTGGGTGATGAAAATGTTAGTTATGATAGACACAGTTCAGTATAGGAAAAAAGATCAATATTTGTTGGTGAATATGACGTTACGAAAATGTTAACTAGAATTAAGAGGATGCCTGCCTTCCTGCCCTCTTTATCTTACAAATGCATAACATAGAAAATTGTACTTTTTTAATAATTCATTTAATTCTGTTATATTATTTAATTTTAGAGTGAATATCAAAGTTAGAAGTAAGAATATTATCTAGGCTTTTTTATAATTTAATTTTAAAGCGAGTTACGAGCATTTTCAAATTAAACATTAAAAGAATTTACAGAATTTTTAGATTCCTCATAACTCGCTTTAAAATTAAATTATAAAAAAGCCTAGATAATATTCTTACTTCTAACTTTGATATTCACTCTTAAATTAAATATAACAGAATTAAATGAATTATTAAAAACATACAATTTGCTATGATATGCATTTGTTAGACGGATACGCCTGTGGGTATCCTCTTAAGGAAATAACATTATTGATAACACATGTCGTATTCGTATGACCAGTTGACCAGTTGAATGTTACTGTTATTTTTATTATTTATTTCATAATTATTGGGTTATCTGTCATCGTCCCTCCAAAGTAAACATATTTTTTTATCATAAAAAATTTGTTAACCTTCTAAATATTTTGAAGATATAAAAGAGCTGTGGGATTGTAAAGTTTAAATACCTCTGATTTAAGTAATATTATGTGAATGTGAGTGTGAACTTAAACATTCAAATACAATTTGAATCATTTTATGTAGCTATCGTATGAAATTGGATTAATGGTGAGATGAGATTAGTATTCAAATTTAAAATATTAAATTTGCTAATTTAATATTCTTATAATTTTACAACCTTAGCCTAACTTTATACTAGCTATTAAGCTCTGTAGTTGTACTAAGTTTTTATTAATTTATGTGGTTTGTTAATAGGTTGGAAAAGAAATGTTGTCAATAAAGAGTAAGGAAGGAGAAGGGCAAAGCTTCAATCTTTTAATGGAGTTATTGAGAGGCGATCATTAATAGTTATAATTATTATTATTATTATTATTATTATTATATAAACGTCTGTGAAAGTATTTCTAAGTTTTTATCAGTAATTTTTGTCTAAGAAGTTATTATAATTTATGTAAATATTTAGAAATATTTAATATTTGAGATTTGTGTACCAAACCCACACAATTCTAACTGTTATTATGACATTTTTGGTAATTTTTACCTCTATTCTATTATTATTGGATTAAACTGAAATCCAAAAATCTTGGAACTGTAATTTGTAGATATATTTTTCTAATTTTAATATTTTTTAAGTATAAAGAAAATTATATTTAAACATAAATTCAGAACAGTCTGAATACTGTGATCTTAAAATAGAATTAACATTATGTGTGTAAATAATGAATATTGAATATAATAATTATAAATCTCCAATTATATGTAGTACAGGGTTTTATTGTTAAAAAAAAACTCATTTTTTTTTCAAATTCTATCAGTGTTCGGTATTGGTTATTCTTTTAGAATACCTCGTACTTAATAACATAATACACAGTGATGGGCTGGCTGTCTTCTATTTCAATAGATTGTACTTAATTATTATAGTTATTATTATTATAATTGTTATAGTATTATAGTTATATTATTCAAATGTATTCTGTCTATTTACCATAAAATGTTTACCAAAATTGATAATCTTAATAATAGTTTTTGAACCATTTAATTAATTAATCAGAAGTATTTGACAATGATATATTTAACTATGTTCGTGTGCAATAAGTTACGTTACCAAAATTGAATTTACATGTTTCTTTGTTTTATTTTCTATTATTGAAATTTTATTGTGCCCATCACTGGAAAAATATTCCTTTGCTAATATATTAATTTTTAGTATACAAACGTAAATGTTTAATTTATTTGAATGGTAAGTTTTTATTATAATATATGATTTATGATTTACATTATTTAAAAATGAAATTACATTTTTGATTACCTTCTGTATTTTTTTTTTTTTTCATAATTTTTTACTATCTGTTTAATTTAATTTTTGATAAATCAACAACAAACTATGTATAAATAAAGCAATACATTAAATTTACTGATATCATAGTTTGGTACCTATATTTAGTAGACATTGACGTAATCGAAATCTAAGCAATATTTTACTTTAAGACAATTATTGTGTGTGCATTTATGTACATGTAGATAGACACTAAATAGGTATACCTACTACCTAATTAATATGTTTTTATACAGTTGATTAATTAATACAAAACAAATAAATACATTTTATTTTTTACATTTATTACACTTACGTTTATTTTCCAATCCTTTAATTAACATAACCTAATCTAGTCTATACTCTTTGGACTTATGTCGCAAGCGAGAATTAGTCGTATGATTTCAACTTTCAAGAATCGGCCTACATTTGTTAAATCGTGACCGTGATAGGTCTATGATATTATATTAACATCAGCGCGAGTCATAGACCACCAGGTTCGGATTACAAATAATATCTTATAGTTGCCCCCCGCCTTACTAGTAGGCTGTAGGCAGTTGTAGTAGCCAGTAGGTATTTACTATTTGAGTAAAGTATATTTACTATATTATACTTATTTACTTTACTCTCCGGCAATCAGACACTTAAACATGTGATATAAATAGCATGGTATGATCGCAAAAGTCCAGATTTGGTCAAAGTCTGAACAATACGTCATTTGCTTACCCGTATTATCATATTGTTTGATCATTGTTCAAATAGATTGTTCAATGGTCAATTCATTCATTTGATACACCACTAAAGTATTTGCTTGCTTGAAGGTATGGTTTTATTTTTCTATTTTGATTATGGGGTTTATGTCTGCAAAATAATAACATATTTTCTACATAATATGTACCAGGTGAAGAGTGGCCAAATGAGCTACAAGTGCTTATGATGGCATATAAATTAAGAGATAGTGATCTCATATTTTTAGAAAAGAAGCGATGGGATATATTTTGTAAAGTGACACTCAACATGAGTCCGGAAGATATAAGTTATGCTTTAGATAAATATAATGATTAGGTGAGTTTATAACAATAATAATAATAATATGTTTTTATTGTTTCCTATTGTGACTTAAATACTTGGTATACCCATTAAAATTTTTTTTTAATTTTTTGAATATTTTGTTAATTTTATTTGTTTAAATGATCAAAATTAGTTTTTTTTAAATGCTTAAGCAATTTTTTGGTACTTCTTTGTAACAACTATTTATGTATGGGAATTATGTTAGAAGTGACTATATTTTTGTAAAGATAATAATTACTAATTTTATTTATAAATATAATTTGCTATAGTACCTAGTCAGGGACTGGAATCGGAATATTCAAAATACAGTGGTCTACATTTTTTAGATTCTGAGTGAAGTGAGGAAGCTATTGGTTTTACAATGGTGTTTATTTTTTTTTTGAGTTAAGAATTTGTAAACATTTTTCTTCTTAAATCTAAGCTTTTAAAATATAATACAAGATTCCTTAAAAGATTATCTACCTTTCTCAAAAAAAAAATGTCTATAAGAAAGTCAAATTAAATTTTTATGAGCGTTTGAATTCAAATTTTTACAACATCGGATATTCACTCGATTTATCATGTAGCATTGTAGCGATTTCCTTATTTAGTTGTAATTCAAAAACGAATAATTGTAAATAGGTACATGAAAATTTCACTGAATATTTATTTTATCATTTCCTATACACCATACAATTTTAAAAATATTTTGACTCTTTTTGAGCTGTTTACAGACATTTTCAGTTTTCAATTTTTTTAGTTTTTTTTTCTATAAATATCAATAAAGTTTTATCTGTTAGGCCAATTAGTGTAAAAATTTAATATAAGGCTCCTGATATATTGTTACAATATCAGTTGAAAAATATTAAAAATACATAGGCACGATTTTTTTTTTTATAATTATTTAAAGATCGAATTTTGACAAAATTTATCAAATTTAAAATTGAATAATTATTTTGTAGTTAATAATTTATAAAATGTTCAACTTTTTTATCAAAGGATTGAAAATTTAAAACAAGATTCCACGTAAGTAGTTAATTCTTTTACCAAAAAATATAAAAAATACACAAGCACAGTTTATTTTTACAGACATTTTAAGTTCAAATTTGGACGAAATTACATATTAAAAAACCTAGTTATTTTGTTGTGATTTTATAATATTAGGTATTATTCGTAGGTACTTGAAACTTCTAAAGTGTACTATTATATATCTATGATAGTATCACGGTTTGTTGTTGATGTAAAACGCATTACAAGTACCTACCTAATGGATATTGTGATATGATTAATTTGGAATTTATTATAGGTCAAATTTTTTTTAATACCATAGATTTGTACATATTATGTCTTATACCTAGACTGACATACCGTCTCCGGAATCGTTTCTTTATACAATGATATTATACCATTGAATTCAAATTTAATACCATCCATTATACAGTGACCCACTTGTAACCTACTGTACAGCAATGAGCAAAGCACATTCTTTTTAATTTTAATATTTTGTTTATTTTATATTCTGAGCGGAGCGAAGGGTCTAGTGGTTTTACAATGGTGTTTATTATTTTTTTTTTATCCTGTATACAAAATTTCTACCAGAATGATGATTTTCTCAATAGTTATTTAAAGCCACGGGAAAAACCACCGACAAATTACAAAAAACCGCTAAAAATGGTATTATAACTTCTGACTCTATTATTAGAAACGAATAAAAATAAAGATTTTAGTTATTTTGTTGCAATTTATAATATTAATTAAACTTACAGGCTATAATAAAATATAATAAGTAATAATAATATAAAATATCCAGACTGACAAACCGTCTCCGCTCAGAATTGTTTTTCGTAACAATGATATGATACCTCATACCTATCATTAAATTCAAATATAATACAATCAATTATGTAACCTACTTGTAACCTACTGTACACCAGAGCGACATCCACTAACCCGCTTTTTATTTGTTTAAGTTATCAAAATGAGTTTTTAATTGTTTAAAAAAAACTGTTGATAGGTACTTATTTTGTAACAACACTATTTATTTATGTGAATTGTGTTACAAGTGACTTACTAAACTAAGAATACTTTTCTAAAGATCTTTCACTTTTTATTAGAATTATACAGAATTTAACATGATGACTTGACAATTGAATTAACTTTTTTGTCACGCCTGCAACGAAAGTTTCGTTTTCGATAGCCTTTGAAGCTTTGGAAAGAGTCTTTTTTCCGTCCAGCTCGAGATAAAATGGGAATCCCTAATAGTGCCATTTCGTTTTATAAATAATTGATAATTTTATAAAATAAATATAATATATTATAGTAGGTACCTATAGTCAGGGACTGGGAGGGAACATATTATACAATTTTGGAATTAATTTCAATGGAAACAATAAACTTACAAAAATCATTGAACCAAAAAATATTTTATTGAAAATAATTTATTATAGTTACAATTGCAATTGAATATAAATAAATTTAAAAAAAAAATCTAAGTAAATGTCGAAGTAAGGAAAAAGAAATATTTCAAATATTGCATTACTAATTTTTTGAAAAATATTATTAAAATGAATATGGTATTAGACAGAGACAATTTTCACCAAATGTTTATACGAGCATTTCTTATACAGTATACACTGTAAAAATTTGAAAGTATTTGAACTCTTTTTGAGATATTTATAATCATGAAAAATTTTTTAGTTTTGTAAATTATTGTCGATTAAAAATTATATAATACGTATATACTTAGGATTTATGGTATTTTTTTTTAATAAAGGTACTACCAAATACAAATTGTCTTAATAAATATTTTAAGGTGTTCATACATTGGGTTTAAAGTGTTTATAATAACTAGCATTTTTATTTCCTACTGAAATATGTATACCTTCTGTATAGGTACTATTGCTATTAATATAAATCCATATTCACTTACATGTTACATAATATTATACATAGTTTAAATATATTATATTTGGTATATAATAAAGTTAAAATGCTATAACTAATAGGCATAGGCGTGCGCAGACCTTGCTGGCAGGGGGGGCAGAATGTAATAATGTACCTATAGGTATATTATATAATATATAGGTAAGTAAATATTATTTTGGTTATTAGTTCAATTAATGTAAGTGATGGAAGTATTTTCATTTTATGTATCATTAAAACTACAAATAACTACAAATTTAATATAGTAATTGAAACTCCAAAGTTTTTTTATATTATATTAATATACATGAACAAAGAAAATTATTACATTCATACAGTGGTGGATCCAGGGGGATGGCAAAGGGGGCATTTGCCCCCCCCCCCCCCAATAACCGTAGTTTTCCTTTGTTTTACACTGTGTTTAGCCAATTTTGGAACTTTCATATACTTTTGAGCCCCCCATGCCCCTCCCAAAATTAAGCCCTGGATCCGCCACTGCATTCATATATATTTTTATGCCCGATGTGTTGGTGAAATCTGAATTTACTAATTCTACTTACTTTTTATTTACAATTACAAAAAAAGTAAGTAAGATAGGTAAATTATTATTTGCACCAACACGTTGAACATATTATAAATATCAACATTTAAAAAAAAATTTAAATCCTTAGTATTGCATTTACATGATTTTTCCAAAAATAGTACCACTATTATATCATGCATTAATGTATCAATAATATTCTATTCTTTGGTAATATTGAAATTTATACATTATTGTAGGCATGTAACCTATTATTTAAACTGTTTTATAAATTATACTTTATAGGTATTTAATAGTATTAGGTATATAATAAACAATTTGATTTGTAGGTTACAGTATAAATAGAAAATTAATTTCAATATAAAACACCACATTAAAAAAAAAGATAGGTATATTCTGATTTAATCAACACGTTGAGCATAAAAATACTAAAATACTAAAAATTCCGAAAATTGCTTCGGAAGTAAAGAGCTATAATATTTGTTCGTATACTGCATACTAATTATTATAATTATTAATTACTAATTATTTAAAGAACCGACCTTCTTAGCGCTTCCGGTGAACGTTTTTCGCATTAAATGCCGTCAAATTACTACTCACTTTCATGTCTCATCACATCTCAATCTACATCATGCTATAATAAGATTATAAGCACTCGTTATCACCGCGGTATCGCTTGTGGTTCGCTTAAAGTTGGACAACATAAAATCATCGTGCACTGTACATCGAGCACTCAATGTTTACATAATATTCATTATATAAAACTGTATTATAATATTTTTTTAAAAACTTTGTTATTTTGTAAGAAAACTTGAGCCCGCAGGAGGGGCAGCTGCCCACCCTGCCCCTCCCGTGCGCACGCCTATGCTAATAGGTAGCTTGACAAAGTGTCTTCACTGGAAGGCTTCTTAAATCGGTCCTTTCCTCAAGCCACTTATTCATTCAATTATCTATTTTACTTATTGTTCATATTTTTATTGTAACAGATTGTAAATAAAAATTATAAAAAAAAAAAAAAAAAATAACTAATAGGTGAAATGTAGTATTCAAAATTTAGGAATTGGTTAATGGGCGTGGGGGGAGGGGGCAAAGCCCCCCACTGGACTGTGCCGAATAATAATTTTGGAACTCAGTTTTAAATTATTGGATTGAGCTCCTATACTTAATAATTCCCAATTCGAGCACTGCGTACCACCTGACCATTCAAGGTTGTAGAAAATGGTACTTACCTATTATTTATAAATGGTTGCCATTATTTATTTACTCGGGCAGTCGGGCTAATGAGGTAAAAGCGAGCGTGTTTTTATTATAAAACCACGTTTTAGAGGTCTAGTTGTGCCTATGATTTGGACGTATGTGACTATGCAAGACGTGACTGTTAACGGTTGCGTAAATGTAAATTGTAAATATTAAATTGAGTAAGTAAGAAATAAGAATGCAAAGAACGGAATTATAGGAACGAACGATAATTTTTTTTTTTCGGAAGCGTCAGCCTTTATTTTGTCATGTTGGATACCCTGGTATCCGCATCTCTCGTGTTATCAATTTTATGGCGCATTTTTTATAGATATTAGATTATCAATTGGCAATAATTGATCATTAATGTAAAAATGTGAATTGTTGTCAATCTGGAAACTGGAAAGGAATGTCGTTACTCGTTAGTCGTTACTCGTGTCTCGTGTCCCGTTTACTACTTTACTCATTACTCTTAACTCGTAAAACGTTACGTAAGTACTGTCTGACGCTCACCTTTCGGAAATCACATCATGACGAGTTGACGCTGATCCAATCTAAATATTGAACTCACATGTTCAGTAATGCAGATTATGATTTAGTTGGCGGGAGACACTCGTGATGATAATCGGTTTGAGTGCTGTGACACTGAATTTCGTTAAAAATAAATAAATATTATGTAAACCTTTTTGTGTTTGATCGATTTAATTGTTTATGTGAATAAGTTTATGTGATGATTAACCCTGAAAAATATTAATTATAGTATCGTTGAAGTCTTTCTAATCAACGTTTTAGCCTGCAGATAGATAAATGTAAAATGTCTGCCTTTCCACAAGTTGAGGGTTATCAAATAATTAAAAATATTGGAAAAGGAAGCACTTCGACTGTGTATCTAGCTCACGTAAAGGTACTTATATTTTCATTGTCAGTTTGGTCTTAAAATGAGAATTAGATGGAATTAAAATAAGACGTACCTACCTATCTTTAGGTTCTCGCATCTTTCATATTTTGTTTTGATTTGTCTACTCAGTACTTAAAATATTATTTTTTTATTACTAAATGTGTAATAAATTATCACTATGATGGTTGATTTACTTCGTGTAAAAATATACTTACAATTATTGTTTTTAATTTCAGGAGAAAATCAAAAATATGGTTGCAATAAAAGTTATAGAACGCAGTAAATTGTCTAAGAGTGCTGAGGACGCTGTAGTAACTGAAATAGGGGTGATGAAGAAATTTAAACATAAACACATTGTTCAAATGATTGACTTTATATGGGATCGTAAAAATATTTACATAATATTGGAGCATTGTGATGGTGGTGATTTGTCCACATTTATTCGACAACGCAAAAAACTATCTGAAAAAATATGCCGTAAATTCATGCAACAATTAGCCTTGGCTTTGCAGTTCCTAAGATCTCATGATGTTTGTCATCTTGATCTCAAACCACAAAATCTACTCCTAATGAGGTCACCACAACTAACTCTGAAGGTTGGAGGTTTGTAATCACGTTTATTTATGTTTGAATGATAGTAATAATATTTTTATGTTTTAAAATTGACATTTAAAATTTTGATTCTAGATTTTGGCTTGGCAAATTTTATGAGTGAAAAAACTCAAATGGAAAATATTCGTGGTTCACCTTTATATATGGCTCCTGAAATGTTACTACTCAACCGATATGATGTTAAAGCGGATCTATGGTCAGTTGGAGTGATTGCTTATGAATGTATATATGGACATGCTCCGTACGCTTCAGATTCTATAAAAGACTTATGTGAAAAGGTTAAAAGAGTACCAATAGAAATACCACCTAATCAAGTCAGTCCAGAGTGTAGAGATTTGTTATTAGGTCTACTCAAACACAATCCATCTGAGCGTATGAGTTATCACCAGTTTTTTAAACATCCATTTGTAGACTTAGATCATATGCCTTCTACGGAATCATATGCTAAAGGACTTGAAGCTATTCACCAGGCAGTAAAACTAGATTCTGAAAAGCAATATAAAGCTGCATTTAGTAAATATTGCACGGGTCTGCAGTATTTGATTCCTTGTTGTAAAAGTAAGAATTTATGATTTATAATTTTAATATTTATTCATATACTATAGACGAAGTATAGTTATGGGGAAATAAATGAGATAATTTACTAATTTATTAATTTTTTGTATTAAGATATCTTTTATAATTTGGTGTTTATGATTGTTTTTATATATTAAATATTAAGGATATCTTACTAAAGTAGAGATGGGTAGAACTTTTTTTCTAACTTAAAAATTAAACTTCAAGAAAAGTTAAAATATATTATGTAATAATAAAACAGTTTTTACACTTTCGAAAACAATTTTTTTACCAATCTGCGCTGTTGTTATAAAATTTCGATTTGAACTCATTTTTCTTGTATTTCTTTAAATATGAAAGTTAAAAGAGTTCAAGAATCCTTCTCTACAATTCAAGAATGGATTATGTCTAATCTTACATAATATGTATAACATGCAGCAGAATCAATTATATTTTGCATGTTCTGTAAGACAAATAACACTTCATGTGGGTATGAAGGCCTTTTAATATTAGCCATAAAATTGATTGTACAAATACATTTTTTAAATTAAATGTTATGCAAATCTTCCAAAAACCACGAATTCATTTAAAAATAAAAATAAAATCTATATCACCAAAAACGCGGGATGTTTAGATGAACACTTAGTATTTTTTACTTAAAAAATGTAGTAATAATATGTCTTAAGAATAAGAAACTTTTATGTTATTAAATATTGTAAAGTTATTTTTCTTACATTTTGTTTAGACGAACCTGATAAAATAAAAAAAGAAGCATTTCAAATCAAACTGAATGAGTACACTAAGCGTGCTGAAGAATTGAAAGCCACGTTATATGTTTCAAAGATCAAAATTAGTAGTGAAGTAAAAGCTGAAAACTCTTCAATATCATATGATGAGGACAATTATCCGACATTAAGTAAAAATATGTTTAAAATAGAAATAATCTACCAACCCTTAACACCTGACTAAATCTCATTAGATCAAATTCTATTCAATGCTTCACTCGCTTTCCAATCCATTAATATAAAGACTATCCTCTGCCACTCTCATACCTAGAAGGTTAAAAAACAAATTGCCCAGGGATCTGCTAAAAACATAATAATATTAACTAAAACTTGTCAGGTGAAACCTCTGGGAGCCATCCTATTGATTTTTATTCAGTCGCATAATTATTATAATTATAAGTTGTTTAATTTGTTTTAAATTATTTTAAGTCATATATTAATTCAAAACTAGTAAAAGTAGTTAAATCAAAAACATTAATTAAAAGTTATTTTGTTGCATATTTTCAATATTTAGACTGCATATTAAATGGCATGTTTTGGCGCTTAAAGGTCCCCACACACTGAAGTGGGGGCGATGAATTGGTGCAGGACACATTTTACCTCTCACCGCAGCGGTAAAGCCCAGACAATAGAATTTACCGCCACCTCTGCAGTGTGTGGGGACCTTTAAAATGCATACAAATCCGCACTCTAATTATAACATTTAAAGTCAAACTTATCTTAGAATTATTTATCTCTGTACAAATTAACCAATTTGTTTGGACTCAAAATATACTAAACAATGATCCTTATCACCCTATATAAACCTTATACATTGTTATATCGCTATAAGACACATTTATGAAAATAATTTTAGTTAATCTGTGTTTTTACTACATTATCCAGTATTGTAATTTGTATTGTATTGTTTGCTTTTTACAGCATCGTTATGTCAAAACACACCTCAATTAGCTAATGCTGTAGAAATTGCACTATCTGGTCAAATGTATCTAGTTGAAGGACAATATGAAGCAGCTGTCGAGAAGTATAAAATTGGTTTGAATTTGTTGGAAAAGCTTTTGGAAAAAGAACCTCCGGGCATCCGTTATAATTTACTTATCAAACAGGTACGTTCAAATTAAGGATGTTGAAAATTATTATAAGATTATTAAGTTTAGAGTAGGTATATGTACATTATGATTAAAGTATATTTATGAATTTTTAGGTAAGTGATTGGACAAGTCAGTGTGAAAGTGCTAGGTCATTATTACAATCCAAGGAAGACAAAGTCAATGATCAACCCGTTGATGTTCCAGATGGATTTTCACCAATATCCAGAGGTAAAATAGATAAGAAGTCTCCAAAATTGTTCCGTGTAGTTAGCAGACTAGTTCTGAGAACAAATATTAAAAATAGCTCATCTCCTGAAAAAAAATAGAACTTCACTATGTATATTAGTTTTATTTAAACTATTATTTAGCTTTTTAATTGAATAATGTCTTATGCTATATTTGCAGGTAATTGCCTATTAATGAGTTGCACATGTTTGATTTTATGTGTTGGCATTGTTAGCATGTCAAACTTGAAATTATTTTAGTTAAGTTAAGTTTAATTAATATTATCTGTGAATTACGAGGGTACAACAGTAACAATTTTATAGATGTTTGGTGTATGAATTGTTTCTTCATAATATTTTCTGCAATTCAAATTGAAGAATTAAAATATATTTCAACATTTAAAGAAAGTTATTGATAGTTTCCATAACAGTATAACCTTTGATTGCTGCATAGTCACATAATTTTTACTACATTTTTTGGTATTTTAACATATTTTTTTTGGCAAATAGCCTCATATTTATTCAAATCCAATCAGTAATAAAGTTATAACTTTAATGTTAACTAAGTCCTAACCATGATAAGTGGTTACAGTCAACAGGCAACCTGAAAATGGCTACCAATCACCTCTGCATTTTCTCTATTTATAGTTTCAGTACCATTTTTTTTACATTGTAAAGGCTTTTGCTCAAATGACAATACAAAGCTATGATGAATTTAAGCTTGTTGTCTTAGTTTGTCTTTTCTCTGTTAAAATCCATGTATTGCATATTAGAGACTATACACTTTTCAATTGTACATACAAAGGATGATATTTCTGATGAATATAAAGTCTATGTCACACAGAAACAAGCGAACACGGACAAATCGCCGTCGCCGTTTCGCCGTTGCCATTTCGCCATCGCAACTTCGCCGTAAAACCATTTCGACGTGAGGCCACTTCGCCGTTAAAAAAAAAATAACAAATTACACAAAATACACATTTTTCAATATTAATTTTTCGTCAATAATATTTAATAATAATAATAATAATACATAAATAAAAATAATTTTAAGCATTATAAGATACCTGCATAACATTCGTCAATATTTAATTATAATAAAAAGATCATTTCAAAGATATATTCTGAGAAATTCCTCGCAAAAATGATGTTAAACTAAGGTTATTGTAGGTACTCATAATTTTAATCAATCTTTTATCGACGTCTAAATATTTTTTTTATTTTTTTGGTGGACTTCTTCCCGCTTCCAAATGTGCGTAGTATGTATCGCGGCCAGATTGGATTTTACGCAGACTTGAAATAAACGACCACAATGTTGGATGGTTGACGCCCATTTCAGTATTTAATCTAAAGAATATTATGATTAAAAATATATTTTTGTGATTGTAATTAATTGTTAATTATTTTTCCGGTTGGCTGCTTCGGCATAATTATTTGTTCGGTCTTGACCAACGATAACTCAATCATGTACATTCCATAACGACGGGGGAAAAAGTGCTGGTTTACATCCATTTTTTGATCTATTTTTGCGGCCTATGTAGTTATCCTCAAACCAATCCAAAAGATCTCGTAACTTGTCTGGTAAATACTCTGCTAGCTCATCTACGGCTTTATCAATGTCTTCAATTTTCACAAAAGCTAATGCAGTTATCATTTTAACGGAGAGAGCAAAATCTGCATTATTATTGTAATTTGAAATCAAACCTAAACTGCACATTTTTAATCGGAAATTTTTCGTCAGATGATACAGACATCCATTGATTTGAGCGTTTGGAAAAGCATCTTTCATAGATATTATAGCAGCATTTTCAAAATCACACGATATAAAATCAGGACATAAATCGGGTTTTAATTGTTTTAATCTATGAAAAAGTTGCTGGTATGTTTTAGCTTGTTTATTTGGTAAAAGTGCATAGATAAGAGGATGTACGCCTCCAATATCTTTAGCCAGTATTACGTAAACTTGAGCAAAAAGAGGAGGTGCAATCTTAAATGTTCCGTCACAAAACTATATTTTTGATCGTTCTAAAATATCTAAACTGCTTAATCTACCAACAATTAAAATTCTATCTAGACCTGGCCCACTATCATCGAGTAAAAATTCTCACCACACCTTCAGAATAAATTGTGTATGCTTAGACGTCGATAAAAGGTTATTATCATTAAATATTATTTACGAAAAATAAAAATATTTTTTATTATTATTGAATATTGAAATGTGTATAATGTGAAAATGTGTATAATAAATAATAATAAGTAAAATACTCCAAATTTTTTTTAACGCCGAAGTGGTCTCACGTCGAAACAGCGACGGCGAAACGGCGACGGCGATGGCGATTTGTCCTAGATCGAGAAGCAAGGAACGAGATGTGATATGGATAATATTTAATATAGTTATTAAAAATGTTACTGTTGCATTCTCTTAAGTTTTGGATCTGTATAATAATATTTTGAATTTCTATCAAGAAGACTGATAATCTTGTTAAATTGTGAAAATGTAAATAATTGATGTGAATGTTATTTAATATTTTACAAATATGTCAATGTGTCTAATTTTTATAAAGTTTTATTTGTTTTAAAAATGTTATGTTTTGTAATTTGTTATAGTTGTTATATTCTATTTGAAATGTTAATTGCATGTATTATGTGATTGACAAAAAAATAAAATACATATTTTGTTTCAGATTCCTGTGTAATTCAATGAATTGTAATGGAATCTAAATGTTATTTTTATCCTTTTCGACTTGGCTGCATCTATTTTTGAAACTTGACCTGCATATTTTAGACTGATGATAACGTGTTCCGATTTATAAAATGTTATTGTTTTTTTTTTTTTATAGTTTTATTTATTAGTCATGCACAATATATTTTGTTAATATCATAATTTCCATGAATAATTTGTGAATTTATTTGTGTTAAGCAATTCTAATTTTGTCTAGTATTCTTTAATAGACCTATTAGGGTTATGGCATATTATCAAACTTGAATGAAGAGAAATATCTGAGTTTTCCTATTGGGTTTTTACAAATATTTTTAAGCTAAATAATTAACATCATTTTTAATTGCAATAATATATGTATACTTAACTCTCTTAGAAATTCTTATGCTTGATAATTGACCATTTCACTCTATTATTAAAGTTTATTACTCAAAATTGAAACTGCTGAGCACAGATTTGCTATGTTGTACTACCAAACAGAAACAACACATGTGGGTGTTGTGTACTCATATTCTACATAGGAAAAAGGTCGTTTTCCAACGCTTCCACCAACATCAAAAAACTAAAGTTTCGGTACAGGCTTTACAAAATAAACTACCTATTTCAGTTAGAAATTCATAAAAGCTTTTCTTTTCATAGCTAACATTAGACATTTTAATAGAAGGTTCCCAACAAGTTTTACCAACTCTATAAAAAAGAAAAATTTCACTGGGATGTTACGATATTTATAGCCAAGAGATATATTTTTTATTTTTATTAATTTTTTTTTTTAAATTTGATTATTTATACAAGGATCTAGCATACTGACACAATGTCTCAGCTCAAAATGGTTTTGGTATACAATGATGTATCATTGAATTCAAATATAACATATCCATTACGACATGCTCGTCAATTACTGTGTAGAAGAGAGGTACCCAATTGGCAATTGTTCACCTTTTTTTTTTATGCTGCCATCTTTTGGAGCAGTGAAGATGCTTCAATTTTCTTCAATAGTATCTTGTTCGATGCTAAAGTGAATATAGTTGGTGCATTTAAAATTCCCAATTGTTTTTAAAAGCGCAGAGAAAAACAACATAAAAATTAAGAAAAAACTGGAATTTTTACGCAAAATCAGTTTTTGACAAAATCGATTTTGGTTTTTGGTATATCTCTAAAAGAAATGAACGTAGATACATGAATTGTTCACTGAAGATTTATATTAGCATTTGCTATACACCATAAAATATTTTAAATATTTTGACTTGTTTTGAGCTGTTTACAAACATTGTCAATTTTTAATTTTTTTAGTTTTTTTTCTATAAATGCCAATAAAACTTTATTTGTGGGATAAAAAAGATTGACAAATTAATACAAGGCTCTTACTATATTGTTACAATGACATTTGAAAAATTGATTTTAGATCGTTTTTCTACGAATGGATAACAAGAAGATAATTTACTGTGCACTATGTGTACTTACACAATAATTTTTGACCTTGTGAGGCAGAAATTTGAGGTTGAACTTTTTTCATCTCTCTTTACAAATGGACTCAGAAGTCAGAACCCCCCAAAATAGGTACATACTACCTATGGTTAGTTAGAACTTTGATATTTGTCAAGTCTAACTTGAATTCATTAGACAGAAATATATCCTTATATATGGAGTAGGTATATTTAAATACCTACATTTTATTTGTATGGAATAAAATCATTTTTTATTAAATTTCCTTTTTGTATTTTCTTTAGTTCCTGAGTCATTTTTGTGGCTACACAATATTTCGTTACTTAACATTCTCTTTAATTTCCTATTTTTTCTTCGAATTATCCCATTCACAAAATATCAATATTTAATAAATTGGAACACTTGATTGAGTCTACCAATATCCATCTACTCACCGGTCCTGTGGCTATCCGTTGGTTGCCTTGATGGTACCGTGGTTGGAGATGTGCTTTATAATACACACAAATTACTAAAATAATATTTTCATCGAAATAACTATTTATTGGTTTTAGATGCTGTGGCCTTTAGGCTTTAATAATAAACAAAGAAAACGATATAATATATTTTCAAGAACTTTTATCTATTTTTATTTTTTATTTATCATTATTTACAAAGTAGCTGCTTTTTTTTAAGGGGAGGCTCAGTCTCAAAGTCTCCCCTGACGAGCTACCCCTGCATCTTTGTCTTTATGCACTTAAGGGTTGTTAAAAAAAATTTCGATCGGTAAAATGTTTTCTTTTATGTATAGTGTATACTTGTGTACATGTTTGTGTGTAGGTACGCATTTATTACGAATCGTCACAGAAATAACAGTGTTATTGATACGGAATATTAAGGTACATAGTATATTAATAAAATTAGTATTACTTTAGAAGTAGGATTTGTGACTTCAGTGACGCAT